ATATTTAAATAATAGAATTTGTTTAATAAAATAATGAAATATTTAAGATAATTAATGCTTTTTGAAAGTAAAAAGCTTTAAGTTTATCGGTCAATATATAAATAAACAAACAAATAAATAAAACAACAAATAAAGAGTGTAGATTAAAAATAAGGATGAAATTATTCATATTTTAGAAGATAAAAGAATCCATTAATTTCACTTGAAGAACTTTTTAAAACCAGCAAAGTATAACCGGATTACATCTGCTAATAAGAGAAGCTAAACTGAAAGGTAATAGCATATTAGCAAGTTAAATTAAATAGACTGAACATAAAACAATTGAATTATACCAAAAAATTCTCAAGAATTCTGTGATTTCAGCTTATTTTATCTTAAACAAGCAGCAAGAATCATTTTTGGAATGTAAATATTACATAATATTTAAATAATAGAGCTAAAAATATATAATAATATAAATTAATAATTGAAATGTTGAAATATTTTAGATAATGAATGCTTATTGAAAGTAAAAAGCTTAAAGTTTATCAGTTTAAAAATAAACAAATAAATTGACAAATGAATAAGAAATTAAAGAGTGAGTGTAGATTAGAAATAAGGATGAAACGAGAAACAAAAACACAATTTAGAATTAATCATTCTGAAAAAAGCATGAAAAAATGACCTTCATATTTCAGAAGACAAAAGAATCCATTCGTTTCATGTAAAGAAGTTTTTGAGCAAAGTGTAACTGCAATACATCTGCTAATAAAACAAGCTAAAATGAAAGATAATAGCATTAGCAAGTTAACTCAAATGAATTGAACAAAAAACTATAAAATATTTTTTTTTAAATCTCAAGAACTGTGTGATTTTGGCTAATTTTATCGTATCAAAAATCATTTTTTGAATGTAAATATCACAAAATATTTAAATAATAAAATTAAAAATATATATTGATATAACATTTTTTATTTAAATAATGAAACATTTAAGATAATTAATGCTTTTTGAATGTAAAAAACTGGAAGTTTATCAGTTTATAAATAGATAAATAAATAAATTAATAAATAAATAAATAAATAAATACATACATACATAAAT